AGGAGAGTGTGGTGCCAGGGAGATGTCATTTAATGGTTACAAAATTAGAGTTAGAAAAGAGAAATAACTTCTATTGTTCAATAGCATGGTAGGGTAATATACTGAGTTCTTGGAAAAGTCATGATACTTTATTTTTTTTTTGGAGAGGTTTTTGCTCTAGGGCGTGTGCGCTCGCCAGACAGACAGAGACAGAGACAGAACGCGAGAAATCACCCCCCAGGGGGGATGACCACACCGCAATCCCTTCTCCTCCATTCTCCTCTCGGGATCTTGGGCACACGCGCACATGTGCCTGGCATGAGTTTTAAGCCACCGGGTATGGGACGCGAACCACGGTCGACTACATGGGAATCCAGCGACATAGCCATTACTCTAACTGCTGGTCCCGAGTCATGACACATTTTTGCGTAGAAAACTATGGAAAAATATGTCATGATTTTTCTGATGAACTAGTAGTTAATAGTCATTTATTGTATATTTCAAGATGATGGACATGTAGTTATGCTGATTTGGTCATACACATTGTATTTATGTACTTAAAAAAAAATCACATTTTACCCTGTAAGTATGTCTTTTCTAAGACAGTGCAATTCAATAAAAATTTCATCTTTTTATTATTGCAGATTTCAAATTCCACCTACAAAGACAAGAATGAAGAATACAAAAGACAGTTCACGCATCTACCTGATACAGAGAAGCTGATAGCAGGTAAAAGGACAGAAATGTGCAAAAAAACCCGGTTTTATTACCTCATTATCAAAACAAGACTGGTGGGTGACAACATATCCAGGAAAAATAAAACATTGGGGTGGACAGAACATAGCTTCCAAAATAAATAGTCTCTTACTGTTCACAGTTAAGACAATGTAAAACTGAGTTGCAGTCTGGGGAGGAGTGGTTTCTGAGTAATAAGAATGTTAAGTACTAACTAAGATAACAGAACTAATACATGATTTGTCATAGTTCTGGTGCTTGTTTCATATGGTTTTGAAAGGATGATTTCAACTTGTTCAGTAGATATTAACTTCATGGTGGCCTCTCTTTTAGTATTTTCAGGATGTTCCCATGATCCAGCATCCAAAGAGCCTATGTATGACACAGAAAGGTCTCTATGGAACTCTCATCCAACATTACGATGGGTATCAATGTTGTTAGTTTAATGATCACTTTTAGTGTCACTGCTCTGTGTTCCAATAAGTGCCTTGTTCTTTCTTCTAGCTTATATTTACAGACCCGTTATGTGTAGTTTTTGCTGCTGTCATCCTGAGACCTAGGCAGTATTGGACTTATAATAGGTACTTGATGGTGGGTGGAGAGTTGACGGGTTGATGAATGAATGATTGAATAAATGAACACCAGTGTCACTTAAAATCAGAAGGGCCAGCAGGAGGCATGGTGGTTAAGGTGCTAGATTCCCAAATGGCTGCTCTGCGGTTCAAGTCTTGTACATGGCAGCTTGAAAAACTCAGCTGCACATATGTGTGGATGCCCCAAATCCCAGGAGGCCGATGGAGAAGGAATTGTGGCATGGCCATTCCCTGGGGAACTGTGATTTCTCACTTTCTCTCTCTCTCTGGTGAGTATATGTGTCCTATGGAAAAAAAAAAAAAAAACTAAACTAAAAAAAAAAATCAGGAGAGTAGATGAGCTCATGGATCACATGTAGAGTTAAGAGAATAGTGAAAAAGAATTATGACATCAGTAGAAGAGAATTAGTAAAAGATTTAGAAGGAAAGGCTAAAGAGTGTGTGAAAGGGCCAACTGGTGGCATGGTGGTTAGGATGGCCAGATCCTACGTGGCTAACTGTGGGGTTTGAGTCTTGGACTTGGGGGCTTGAAAAACATGCCAGGCACGTATGTGTGCATGTCCAAAATCTTGAAGGAATGGACAAAGGACTGGTGTGGCCATCACCCTGGGGTGTGCTTTCTCACTTTCCCGCTCAGTGTCTCTCTCTCCGGTGAGCGCACATGCCCTATAGCAAATTAAAAAAGAGAGAGTGTAAAAATCCAGAAGAAAGAACGATTGCAGTATTCAAGGATGCAGAGAATTAAAAGAATCAGAATATGGTCAGCAGTATGATATAGAGTTGAACTAAATGAAAATGAAATACACAAAATAATGATTTGTGGCGTGCAACTAATGTAGTATAGAGAAGAACATTTATAACATTAAATGCACATATTAGGAAACAAAAAGGAAGTAAAATTAGTACCCTAAACTTACACTTCATAAAACTGTAGAAAGAAGTTAAACCTAAAACAAATGTAAATAAAGAAAGAATAAAGATTGCAACATAAATCAATGAAATTTAAAACAGAAAAAAATAGAGAAAATCAATGAAACCATTATTTAAGATCAATAAATATGATAAATTGGTATCCTGGTTGACCAAGAATGAAGATAGAAGACACAGATTACCGACTGATCCCATGGGTATCATAAAGATAATAAAAAAAAAATACTGTGAACAAGACTATGAACAACAACTTAGAGAAGATGGAGATATCCTTTGAAAGACATAAACTACCAAAATTTGCGCAAGAAGAAACAGCCTGAGATAGCCCTATGCCTACTAAAGAAATTGTGTTAGTAGTTTAAAATCTTCCAAAAAAGAACATCTTGAGCCTACATGGTTTCAGTGGTGAATTCTAACAGACATTTAAAAAATAATTAGTACTATCTCTTCCAGAAAATAAGAAGTCATGTCCTAACTCATTTTATGATTAGTAATACCATGATACCCAAACCAGACAAAAACATTACAAGAAAACTACAGATCCATATCTCTCATGAATGTAGACATGAAAGGCCTACACAAAATATTAGCAAATGAGATTTAGCAATCTTTAGTAATAGATTATGACCTTATTTATTCCAGGAATGCAAGACTGGTTTAACACTCAAAACCAACCAATGTAATTTACCATATTGGCACACTAAATACAAAGACCCATAGAATCATTGCAATGATTCAGAGATAGCAGTTGGCAAAATTTGATTTCCGTTTGTAAGCAGATAGTCTCAGCAAGCTAGGAGTAAAGGGAAGTAGTTTTTCTAACTACTTAAAACGCATCTTTGAAAAACCTGCAACTAAGATCAAAGTTCATGAAGAGAGAGCGAATGTTGTCTACTTTAAGTTAGGAACAAGGCTAAGGCGTCTTCTCTTACTACTGAATATTTTCCTGTAAGTTAAATGTTCAATAAGTGAAATAAAACTAGAGAGGGAAACAAAGGCATACAGATTGGAGAAAAAAAAAAAACTTTCTGGAAGAAGACATAATTAGTTATGTAGAGCATTTCAGATCATCTATCAAACTTCTAGGATTAATGAGTGAACTTAACAAATGCATAGGATTGAACAGATTGGAGAAAAAAAAAAACTTTCTTGGAAGAAGACATAATTAGTTATGTAGAGCATTTCAGATCATCTATCAAACTTCTAGGATTAATGAGTGAACTTAACAAATGCATAGGATTGAAAGTTTATAAAAAGGAAATAATCATATTCCCACATACCAGTAGTAAGCAATTAGAATTTGAATTTTAAAACACCATTTACCCACAAACAAAATGCTTGAGTCTAAAATCTAGCAAATGTGCAGGCTCTGTATGCTGGAAATGAAAACACTGATAAAAGAAGTAAAAGAGCACCTGAGTAGATGTTTACGGATTGGAACACTCGACTTGGTTAAGATCTTGATTCTCTCCAATCAAAATCTCCATAAGCTTTTTCATAGATATTGACAAACTGATTCCAAAATTTATATGGAAAAGAAACTAGAATGGCCAAGTAATTTCTGAAAAGGAGCAATGCTATAGGACACATACTACTAGATTTTAAGATTTATTACAAAATTATAGTAATCAAGATAGTGGATTTGCAAAATGATGAACAGGTCAATGGAACAGGAAAAAACCTCAAATGTAAATTCACATAAATATTAATATGTGAAATTATTTTTAACAAAGGTGCAAAGGCTATTCAATGGAGAAAGAATAGTTTATTTCATAAAAGATGTTGGAACAACTAGATGTCCATATAGAAAAGAAATGACCCTCAATGCATAATCCTAACACTTTATGTAGAAATGAACTCAAAATGGATCATAGAACTTATTATATACATAAAACCATAAAGTTTCTAGAAGAATAATATATGTGTTTTCCTAGGGAAAATCTTTATAACTTGGATTGGGTTGTGAGTTTTTAGATGGAACACCATAAGCATGAATCATTTTTTAAAAAAACAGTAAAGTGAGCTTTATAAAAATTAAATTTTTTCCAAGCAGAAGATCCTGCTAAGTCGCGGGCCTTGTGTGTGAGTGCCTGAGATATGAGGACCTGGAGGACTGGAGTAGGAGGCTCTTGGTATACGATGCTTATGGAGAGTGCGCACCCATTTCTCTCTCTCTCTCCCTGTTATATGTGTGCACAAGCACTCTACCATGAATAAAAAGAAAATTGTATTTATAAAATGGATATTTTTAAGAGATTATAAATATAAGCCACATAATATAAAAATTATTCAACAATGATGTAACTGATTTTAAAATTAAAGCTTGAATTCAGAGTATAACTATTCTTATAAGTCAATAATAAGAACACAAACAACTAAATTAAAAAAAAAAATAGGTAAACAGACACTTTACCAAAGAAGATATGGGGATCGTAAATAAGTACATGAAAAGATGCTCAGCATCAATTGTCATAAGAAATGCAGATTAAAAGCACAGTTGGGGAACCAGCAGTTAGTGTAATGGCTATGTCGCTGGACTCCCACGTAGTCGACCGCGGTTCGCGTCCCGGACCCGGTGGCTTAAATCTCACGCCGGGGGGTGATTTCTCGCTTTCTGTCTCTCTGTCTCTCTCTGTCTGTCTGGCGAGCACACGTGCCCTATAGTGAAAACCTCTCAAAAAAACCCTAAAAAAAACCACAGTTGGGACCAACAGTTAGCGTAATGGCTATGTCGCTGAACTCCCATGTAGCTGACCGCAGTTCAAGTCCTGGACCCGGTGGCTTAAACTCACGCCGGGCACATGTGTGTGCATGCCCAAGATCCTGAGAGGAGAATGGAGGAGAAGGGATTGTGGCATGGCCATCCCCCCTGGAGGGTGATTTTTTGCTTTCTATCTCTCTGTCTCTCTCCGTCTTTCTGGCAAACGCATGACCCGTGCTTTTTGAAAACGAAAAACGCCAATAAAAAAAAAAAAAAAAAAAAAAAAAAAAAAAAAGCACAGTTACATAAACTACACACCTGCTTTCAATAGAATTGCTAAAATTAAAAAACAACCCACCAATTGAAAACCTGACGATACCAAATGGTCATGAGCAGACCAGCAGGAGCTCTCATCCATTAGTTGTGGGAATGTAAGTTGATATAACCACTTTGTATGGTAGATTGGAAATAACCAAGATGTCATTCAACAGGTGAACGAATAAACTGGTACATCTATACAAAGGAATACTATTCAGCAGTAAAAAGGAACAAGCTACATAGCAAGCCAAATGAATCTCAAATGCATCTTTCTAAGTGAAAAACAACAACAACAAACTAACCCCCAAACCTACATACAGTATTACTCCCTTTATATTCGATCCTAGAAAAGTCTAAACCAAAGGAATGGGAACCAGCTCTGTGGTTACTGCGGTGTGAAGGGAAGCACTGCTACACAGAGGACATTTTAGGGTTATGGAATGATTCTGTGT